CACACAGCTTTGAGCTGTCTTTATGCCAAAGCTGACTGGAAAAGGTGGAGGCACTGGGAACCAGGGATAGTTCCAGGATTGCAAAGAAAGTGTTGAGAAAAATGGGGCTAAGAGTTGAATTGATTCCTATGTTGATTCTAACCATCAATCCCTATTCCTGTTATTCACCAAATGTCACACACTCACTTTCACGACCTCACATGCATACTCTTGGTGCCTACCCCATCCATTGCAAAGTCACATACTCCAGGTGTAGCAAGATTCTGTGGTTTCAATATTTGTGTCAACCATTATACCACTTCATTTTGATATGATTGAAGCTATCTTGAGTCATAGCCATCAATCCCCCAAGTAACCCTACCTGGTTTTTCCTGCATAGTTTCTCAGCAAACMATAAATAGATAAAACCATTTGGGTCATATGTGGGACTTGATAATCGGACCCTAGCTCTAGGTATGAGACTGCTTAAGATACACCAGGTTCATTCCAACCTAGATGAAGTTACCTTTTGTCCTAATGCAAATATGCCCCTCTTTCTAACCCAAATTGTGTGGCTCCAACTAGTCTCTCTGCTGCTCAGGGCCACACTTTCATCAGTAAGTCCTCCAAGAACTATGCAATCCAGGAACTGTCTGCCTTTCTTGGTCTCAGAGCACTCTGAGGCCAGTCCTCATAGTTATGAAGGGACTTTTCTCAAGTCTTGGTTTTGCCTGTTGTTCTCCATCACCTGATCTTGGTCATGCGAAATCCCCCCTCTAATGCATCATTCATCAAAATTTCCTGGGGATCTGCTTCTAATCACAGCTCTCTCAGTAGGTTAGTTCATTACTTTTTGTTCTATTACCCGGTGAACTGAATCCTCCTGGTGTCCACATCTTACTTTTATATCCCAGGAGCCTTGTGTTCATCTTTCCCCCTTATGTTTATTTTTAACATGTCCCAGCAGTTGGTGAGCACACCCCAGAAACTGGATTTTGCTGATCTTCTGATCCCTGACTTTGAACACCTCCAGCAATCTTTGGTAACTCCATAYACACACATCACATCTCACACACACACACATCAGATGATGAGTATCTGTTTTGCTCAAACTGAATTAAATATGCATTTTACAAGTGTCTGGAATCAGGGGCCTCTGCATTTGATGTGTGTATAATTGGAACAGGATGTGGTGTTTCCATTTATTTTAATTAACTAAATAATTCATTTTAGTTTATTTTTATGGTATCCAGGTGGCTAGGACAAAAACTTGTTCAAATAAACTGAGTGGTTTTAGAAAAAGGATTTTTTCAAATAAAAGGATTTGAATGGACATTCAGTGACCTAAAATCTACTTTCTTCAGARCAGATAAAATAAATACATGCCTGGCGCAGTGGCATGAGGATCCCAAGTTCAAAGCCAGCCTTAGCAGTTTAGTGAGGCTCTAAGCAACTCAGCAAGACTGTTTCTTTTTTTTTTTTTAAAGAGAGAATTTTATTTTTAATATTTATTTTTTAGTTCTCGGCGGACACAACATCTTTGTTGGTATGTGGTGCTGAGGATCGAACCCAGGCCGCACGCACTCCAGGCGAGCGCGCTACCAGTTGAGCCACATCCCCAGCCCCRTCAGCAAGACTGTTTCTAAATAAAATATATAAAAAGCTGGAGATGTTGCTCAGTGGTTAAGCACCCCTGGGTTCAATCCCTGGTACAAAAAACAAAAACAAACAAACAAACAAAAAAAACACATGAAGGTGCAACTTTGGGGGTAGGAGTTAGGAGAATGCAAGGCTGCTGTCAACAAGGAGAGATATTTATACTGAAACTGTAGAACTGAGCAGATGACAGCTAAACACTGCTCCTTTCCCATGGCTTTCCTGTGAGCTCAAGGGTACCAAACTACAAGGAATCAGACATATTGGTGGAAATAAGTCCCAATTTCAGAACAACTACAACTTTTGAGGAATAAAGTAAGTTCACTTGTTCTTTTTTTTTTTTTGAGGGGGGTGGGGGGTTATTGTTGCTATGTTGACTGAACATCCCCAGATTTTTTTCATTTTTAATTTGGAGACAGGTCTCGCTAAGTTACCCAGGTGGCCTCAAACTTGTGATTTTCCTGCCTCAGTCTCCTGAGTCACTCAGATCACAGTCGTGCCTCACTGGGTTCCCGACCCACAAGTTTCGTTGATTCAATAGCCTTAATTCCTGCTCCCTTCTGTTCCCTAGCCCTTGGCTTATTCTGGCTAACCTAACTTTAATCCCCTTGGTTTTCACAACTCCAGAATGCATTGGATTTATGTTTTTGAAACTTTATCTTGGTAGCAGAATAAAGGGTGTGGAGGGTGCCAGGCTAGGCAAAGACAAAATAAAGAAAGAAAAGAAAAGAAAAAAGAAAGAAAGAAGAATGAAAGAAAGAAAGATGGATGCAACTCAGAGGAAGAGTCCCAAGAAGCATGAACATGGTTTTCGCTCACCAGCACCGCAGGAAAAAAAATCCAACCCAATTAGGTGAAGGCCAAAAGGCAAAAATCTTTTGAGGCTCTCCACGCCTTTCAGGATAGTGTTCCAAGCCCTTTCTTAAAGAAGCAGAGAAGATCACACAGTTCCTGCCACTGCCCACCTCGCTACATTCCCACCGGAAGTCATCCGCAGCTGTTCCCTCAGTGCCTCACGCTGTTACCATCCCTCAAACCGCAAAAGTTAGCGGAAAGGGACACGTCTTCGGAGACCCCGCCCACAAAAGGGTACGCTTGCGTGCTCGACGCAGCGGCGGCCATTTTGGTCTTGGGCAGCCGCGCACCYTGAGGCTCACTCTGTGAGATTGAGGGTGGCTCCAGCGGCTGCACAGGGATAGCTAGAGGCCACCTGACACCCTTTGCCATGGCGGGTGCATGGCCGCGAGACCATGGGCTTCCTTGCCCTTCTGTCTCCAAGTACCATCCTTCCTGCCACTACTGCCCCAGCCTCTGCTTTTTCCTTTTCACCACTGATAGTGAAACAGACTATTAAAGCCCTCGTGGAGAGGAAAGGGGCTTGGCAAGTGAAACAAGTGAAGGTCACGGTCACGGGTCCTCTTGGACTCACATGTGACAGTTTTGGAAGGGTGTCAGAAACACAGACCAGGGTGCCCAGGACTGAAAAGACTTGGTAGATTTTGGAACATTTCAACGCCCCCATGCTTGTTATTTTTATCACCTCTGACTGCCTCCCTTTAGGGACTCCCATGCAGAATCAAGACTCCTAGAATGAAAAAAGCCCTGTGTGTGTGTGTGTGTGTGTGTGTGTGTGGTGTGTGCCTGTGGCGACATCAGGAAGGGGGAGCTGGGACATTGTGTCCCAGGCAGAACTAACGTGGGGGAGAAGAGCCTTTTGAGCCTGCATAGGCAGCAGGTCCAGGGAGGGAGAGGAATTCAGGCCAGACTTGGGGTGGCCTAGGGAGTCCTCAGTCTTGTGTAGCTGCTATACCTACTCAGTAGTCAAAGGGTGCCTGGCTTCTTAAAGGGGTGAGAAATAACCTGGAACCCAAAGGAATGGGAAGTCCATGGAGAAGGGCCTAGAGTTGGTGGGGAGGGACCAAGGTCTTCTAGTCAACGGGGTGGAGAATAACACCCAATCTCAGAATTCTGGAGGCTTACTGAGATCTTTTTCAATAATAAGACAGGTACCTGTCAGCATGCTCAGCTTCCTGCACCCCAGCCTGATGGAGAGAGGTAGCAGAGGATACAGAAATACCAGGTGGGGGATTGCACAGTTTATTTCCAAACACAGTCAGAGGACAGGGTGTCAGGTGGCCAGCAGTCTCCATCTGCATCCCCTCTCTGCATTTGGCTTAATCAACAACTTCCCTCCCCTTGTCCCCAAGTCCCTAGGCTGTGCAAGATAGAGAAGGTACTGCCACTGCCTCCAGGAGGAGCCTAGGCAGGCGGGGAGCATGGAGTGTGGGGTGGGGGTGGAGTTCAAGTATTCACAGTTCTCCCATTCAGATTACACTATGCCCMGGCCAGGAGGCAATTCCAGCTTCAGGATGGCTCCTGATGATAAAGACCCCCTCCCACTCAGACACTGACTGCCTCTGAGCTCTCCTTTTTCTTAAAATAAACCAAGCCCTAGGTCCTGCAACTGGCAAGCAGGGGGCCTCAGCACACCTGCTTACCCAAGAACCCAAGGGAGGGTCTTTACCTGTAGTGACTGGATT